GCTACATAATGAGAACATGCCTCAAACGTCAACAACAGGTTTGAAGTAGGAATTTGTTCAAGATTTGGAAAAGGAAAGAGGAGTATTCTTCCTCGGAGTTATGCCGATCCAGTGAGTCAATACCCCTTTGAAGAGGCTGGAGAAATGGCTCAGTTCGTATAGTGCTTGTCACACAATTCCCAGCACCCATCTCAAAAAGCCGGATGTGCTAATGCACACTCTCAAACGTCAACAACAGGTTTGAAGTAGGAATTTGTTCAAGATTTGGAAAAGGAAAGAGGAGTATTCTTCCTCGGAGTTATGCCGATCCAGTGAGTCAATACCCCTTTGAAGAGGCTGGAGAAATGGCTCAGTTCGTATAGTGCTTGTCACACAATTCCCAGCACCCATCTCAAAAAGCCGGATGTGCTAATGCACACTTGTAAGCCCAGCTCGGGGGAGGTAGAGACGGGGGGGGGGTGGCTGGCCAGCCCAGCCAGCATGAGCTCCTGGTTCAGGGAGAGACCCTGTCTCATAAAACAAGGTGGATGGTGCCTGAGAAATGACATTCAAGATTGTCTTCTGGATGTACACACACACACACACACACACACACACGACAGTCACTTTGCTCTATTACCCCACCCTCTGTCTCCCACAAGCCACATACCTTAAAGTACATTCAGAGATTGGGACCAGGGCTTCCACTGACCCCAAGGCTGACCTGTCTCTCAAGTCTTCAGTAACTTGATAACTTTCCACACCTTTCCGTATGGGATACTTCCACACCTCTCTGTCTCCCTGCCAGAAGCATCCCTCTACCCTCCTCTTCACATCACCCCATCTTAAGTCTCCTTCAAGGAGACAACTCATGACAAACTCCACCTCCGTTGTGAAACCTGACCTCCTTCCATTGGAGTCAGTACCTGTTCTGCAAGCTTCTCTGACACTTGGCTTGTGTTCCTGTTACCATGCCACTGATCAAGCAGAGATGTGGCCAGCATGCTGTCAGTGTTCTGTGCACACACTCATTTCACAGTAGACTGGTGAGAATTATTACCACGCCACAGGGTATAAGAGGAGCTGGGAGCTGGTCTCACCAATGACTGCGCAAGTAGGAAGGTGGGGAGTACCTTTGGACAGCTCCCTGGGTTTTTCTTTCCATCATGCTGTGTCTCCTAAAGGGCTCTATGTCCCGATATTTACATCCCTGTTTTGATCTGTTCCTCCCATGGGACTAAAGTAAGTACTCTGATGTGAGGGACGAAGGCCTGTTCATCTTTACCCACTTTATCCATCTAGGTGATGCATACCTAGAAAGTGGAGGCAAGAGGATCTGGAGTTCAAGGCTAGCCTCAGCTACATAGTGAGTTTTAAGACAGCCTAGGCTACGTAAGACTCTACCTCAAAAGGGGGGCAAGCAGGACTAGAGGGACAGTTCATCAGTTAAGAGCACTTGCTGCTCTTGCAAGGGACCAGGGTTCAGTTCCCCACACTCATACACTCACAAGCATCTCTAACTCCAGTTCCAGGGAATCCAACGCCTTCTTCTGGACACTGCATAACCAGACATGCAAGTTGTACACATATATACATGCAGGCAACACACTCATACATATAAAATTAAAGTAATTCTTTTAAAATCTTTTTTTTAAGACAATACAGAATACAGGCTAGAGAGATGGCTCAGCGGTTAGAGCACTGGCTGCTCTTGCAGGGTAATTCTTTTAAAATCTTTTTTTTAAAGACAATACAGAATACAGGCTAGAGAGATGGCTCAGCGGTTAGAGCACTGGCTGCTCTTGCAGAGGACCCAGGTTCAGTTCCCAAGCACACACACGGCAGCTAATAACCATCCATAACTCCAGTTCTAGGGGATCTGATGCCCTCTTCTAGCCTCCTCAGGCATTGCACACATGCAATGTATGTACATACATGCAGAAAAAAATTCATGCACATAAGGTAAAAATATTTTTTTAAAAAGACAGTACATACACAACCCTTACAGTGCCAGACAGATTATAAATCGACGCTAGTTGGTTGGTTTAGCTACAGTGTTATTGTTGTTACCAGGTCAGGTAACAAGAATAAAGCCTCGCACATAAATCCCGAGCTGGGGCTTATTCCTGAAGAGCAGATGACCTGGGAGAGAAACTCACGGAGAGACAAAGGTTCCCCTAGCTTAGCATGCCCTACACCACATGACTAGTCAGTCCAAAGCAGCAGGAGGAGTCGAGCTTCTGGGATAAGGCTAGCTTCTCCTTCTATCACCGTGTGAAAGTTGGGGGCTTCCTATTTAGTGCGCAACCGTTGCAGCTGGGTGACCACTTTGCTGTCATCTCCTACCCAGTTTGCCGATGTTCCCATCAGAGAAATCAATTCACAGGCTCAGAACCAGGAGAGGGAGATCACTCAAGTAAACAGGAATACCAGGGGAGAAATAAATCTAAGATGCTGGTACCTTAGGCATAGAAAAGTCCTCTCTTCTATCAAGTCACTGGGTGGGAGTGGTACTTCTAATCACTCTGTTTGTTGACTCATTTATTTGGTCAGCTGTCCCCTAGTGATAGGCCAGCTCTTCCTCCCTGTGCCCTCTGGTCCTCCTGGGCCTGAAACATACTGGGTATACAGCAGTGACCCACCAAATATTTATGGAATGACTACAAATATGTATATGTATGTATACCCCTCTATATGTATACATAAACACACAGTGTCTACTTGTACACATCTATCTGTATCGGTACAGATTGAAGAAACACAAATACAAGCTTTACCACATTTGAGATTCTTCAGTACAGCAAAGGTTCACCTGTCTATCTAAATACGCATTACTATTCATCTACTAATATTGCATATTTTAAAAAATATAATGAATTCTATTAAATGTACAGGGCAAATAATGTTTCGACCTAACAAACTTGAAGTTTCTCCAATCTTTGCAAACATGAACTTTGCTCTAATCTTTGTGTCTATTACCTGGAAAGATGCAAGCAGGAAGGAAGGGGATGTAGACAAATACATGTCTATGAACATAGCAGGCGAGAAGTTCTACATTCCTGTGGGCTAGCCAGATGTCCTTGAAGTTGTAACACACATACCTTACAATGTATAACAATTATAAAACAACCATGTTCGGGATACACAATGTACCAGACCTGGCCTCACCTTCCCAGTTTAAACCTTAGCACAATCCTGCAGAAGAGATATACCCTTGTACCATTTTATAAATAAGAAAACTAAGGGCCAAGGAGTTACGGGAACTTGCTGAGAAGATTCTGCTGTGGCTCTGGCTATGATACAGGTACAAGCTCCAGATTCTATTTGAAGTTTAATCTGTTTTCAATGATACCAGGGGTTTTTGCAGTTTTACTGATCCTAACTTTGAGAGGTACGCAGTGTTGAAGTGTGTTTGATGGTGTTTGGGATTAAATAAGTAATTCTCTGCACAAAGGAACCAGGCTAAAGTGAAGATCATCCCAGGTTAGAGACAGCAGAGAGTGACGTGTCTCAGAACCTTCATCCTGTGTTTATCACAACACGATGTTTTCCACTTGACCATTTCCTCTCAAAACAAATCTGCGTTCTAACAGGGCTTCATTATTTCTTTTCCCATGTGTGAAAAAAAGGCTCTTTCACTGTAAGCCAGTGGGACATTTGTAACTCATTCTGCTGGGAGTGAGGTACTGACTATAGGGAGGAGAGTCACTGGGTCCTATGCCTTCTGCCTGCTTTAGAGCCCAACAGTCAATATTGTAAAACTGAATCAAAATTAGCCTTTATGCACTTTGGGGGGGGCAGAATTATTTTTAAGCTTAGTGATAAAAAGGAGAGAGAGAGAGAGAGAGAGAGAGAGAGAGAGAGAGAGAATGTTTCCTCTAAATTTAAAGGAAATGTCAGCTGCCTTTCTCTAGATTCTAGAACTGTTTCATCTCTGACCTTTCCAAGAGCAGGCGTGGGGAGGTAAATTCATTCTTTTTTAAAGTGTTTTTTAATGTATACAGGCTTCAGATCATAACAACAGTGAAGTGCTTCCAATGGCTCTCCCCTTCCGGTCCACACCTCCCTCAGACCACCATCACTGAGGACCCAGTGGCTGAAGGTGAGGAGGGCACCGCCCAGCGGTCAAAGCCGGGCGCCTTCCCTTGTTCCCTGTAACATGCCAAGAGGTTTTACCTTCCGTCTAGCTACAAGTTCCCCGGCTCGGAACTTGTTTTCAGTCCCTTAAATTAAAATGCCCCCCAAACAAGAGAAACTACCACCTCTGCGTGGTCTGTGGGGTTCTGATTTCAAACCTGGCCTCGGGTTTTGTTTATTTGTTTCCTGATGTCAAGTTCCTCCCTCAACTTCATCCTTCATCTTTCAGAAACATAGCAAAGTCTAAGGAAAAAAAAAAAAAAGACCCCAAAGCTTTGAAGTGCTGAAAATCCCAGCGCTCCTACCTCATAGATAGTGAATGACCTTGGGCCAGTAGCTCGTCCTATCAAGGAATGGTTTGTAAGAGCTGGAAATATTTCATTAGAAAGTTGTCGAGATTTCAACACAAAAATCTTAGAGTCCTGACTCTTCGTAAGTGGTGGTCGGCGCTCGCAACTCTCCGTGGGCACACTGCGCAAAGTCTGGGGGGCCTGGCTGCCGGCCATTTCTGCATAGGTGACTTATGTGGCCAGCTGCCCCCGAAAACCTCAGCCTATTCCTAGCTTACGTCTCCTTGGCTTCAAACGTCTGCAGAGCCCAAGAAATTAATTCTCAGAACGAACTAAGTTGTCCTGAGTCTTCCTTCCCACCCAAACACGGCTCGGACTTGGGAAGGATGGCAAGTCTCTGCACACGCAAAGGTGTCTCCAGCATCTCTTGGGATGAGGGGTGGGGAAGAGACCCTGACTTAAGTCTCTAGATTGGGCATGGCACAGGGGTGCGGGACAAGGAAGCCGGGGCGAGAAGGTCCTCGCCGGCGACCCAGTCCCCTGCACAGGCGGAGGAAGGGCTGCTGGCCGAGAGAGCTGCAGGGCACCGAGTACCTGAAGAGTCTGGCGGCTGTCTGGTTCCTCCTCCACGTCGTGCGCTGTTCCAGCACCCCTTGCACTATCTCCTTCTCGCTGGGCATCCGGTAGACCGGGAAGACGTAGAGCCAGCAGAGAACCACCACGCAGAGGGCACTGGCTCCCACGGGCAGCCGGGTACGCGGGAACTTCCAGGCCAGCACCGCCATGGTCCCTCTGGACGTGTGTCGCCGGGCCCGCCCGCAGGGGCTCATGGCCGCCGGGGCGTCCCAGGCTCCGGGATGGGAGCTCAGCACCGGGCCAGGCGAAGTGGCACCGGAGGGTCTCCCCGCGGCCGGCCCCCCATGCACACACACACACTCCCCGTTGGTTTTCCTGCTTGCACACGCACGCACACGGCTAGGGAACCCCCGCCGGGACCCCAGAGGTCAGAGACAAGGATCTTCTCCAATGCAACTTTTTCCAGGATTTCTCGCTAGGGGAAGTGGCCTCCGGGCAAGTCACGAGCTAGAGCCCCGGTCGCTTTCCCTGCAGAAGGCGGAGGCTGGAAGGGTCTGGGCGGGAGCGGTGATGGGCCGGGGGCTCCCGTGGCTGCAGCAGCATGACCCTGGCTGGGGTCCGGGAAGAGGCGCGGCTAGCTCCCGGACATCTGACCCGGGTGTCCCCTCCGGAGAGAGATGCTCCTGCGCCCTGCGCCGCGCTCTCCCCGCCTCCCGCGCCGCCGTGCCGCCGGGCACCCCCCAGACGCTCTGTCTCCCCGGTGCCAAGTCCTTGGAAATTTCCACAGCGGCCCGGGACCACTAGCCCGCCCCAGGTGCCTCGGCCGCGCCCGCCGGGACCCTAGGCACGCGCCCCTCCCGGGCCAGGAAAGAACTCGCTCTCATCAGTTCATTCAGCTGCGAGCCGCAGCCTTCCACTGCGCCCCGGACTCCGCAGACACGCGCCCCGGGATTGGTGGAAATCAAGGTCTTCCCCCGCCCTCCCCCACCCGCGAAACTGCCTCCTGCGACCCGCTCTGGGCGGCGATGCTCGCCTGGTGCGCGCGCCCCTCGCCACTGCCCTTGTTCTCTGCAGATCCAGGCAGACAATAAGATCTGCGGCCGCTGAGATGCATGCATGCATGCACACACGCGCACGTGCACACACACACATGTGTCCCAGAGTGAGCGCAGATGGGAGACCCGCGCCCAGCGTGCGCCGGCTGCCGTCACTGGGATCCTTCTGTAACGGATTGGTTATTAACAAGGAGGCTGCCGGAGATTGATTTCTTCTCGGACCACCTAACCCGGTTACCGGTCCCTGAGCTGGGGCGACTCCGTGCACGCGCCTGCGTGCACACACAAACACACAAGTGCTGCCGGTGAGCGGGAGCGCGCGCCCGGGTCCTCCGCCTCGCCTCCACCCTGCAGAGATCCCCAGCCCGCCAGCATCCATCCCAGCACACGGACTCCAAGGAAATAACCTTCCCAGGGCACATTTGCCTCCTCTGCTTTTGAGATTAAAAAAGCTGTTTATTCCTAAAAAGCTGCAACCGCAAGCTTATTGCATCCACGACCTTGGAAAAGCACCACTGGCCTGGACCCGCCTACACGAGGGACTCTGTGAGCCATTTCTGCTCGCCCCGTAGGACAGACAAATAGCTTGGGTACCCCCTAGCGGTAGCCTGTTTGCTTAAGCAGCCTGTGCAGGGACAAAGAAGTCTGCTGCCTCAAGACCCAGCCAGTTTAGTCGGCAGGAACCAAAATCTCAGGCCACAGTTCCATTTGTTCAGTTGTGAGGCCCGCGGCCCTCCAGATGGCCCATACTGCCTGCTTCGCGGCCTGCCCTCTTTTTCTAGCATTCTTCTGCACTGAGACGTGGAGTTTGGGAAGTTGGTATAAAGTTATTTGCCAAACACGAATGAGTGTCCTTCTCCCAACATCGCTGTGCTTTCGGAACTACCAGGTCTCCTCCGCTGGCACTCATGCCTCACAAATCTATCTAGTACTTGGGCAACTCAGTGGAGACTGGAAATCTGGGTACTTAGAGTGGCATAGATTATTTAAAATAAGGACCCCCTTGGGGCTGGAGAGATGGCTCAGTGGTTAAGAGAACTGGCTGATCTTGCAGAGGATCTGGGTTCAAGTCCCAGAACCCAGGATAGGTGGCTCACATCCTCTTGTAACACCAGCTCCAGGGAATCCCACACCCTCAGCTGGCCTCTTTGGGCACCTGTACACTGACACACATACGCATAAATTAAAAATAAAATAAATCTTAAAATACGGCCAATCAAAGATTCCCCCCAAGACCTACTCTGTCCTAGGAAGAAGTGGTGGGACCTTTGTCCTTTTCCAGGGTAGCAGATAAATCATCTAGCCCTTTCCCTCCCTACAATTTAACTAAAACATGAACCATCCCAATTTCTCTTCCCTGAACTCTAGACAAACCTGGAGTAAATGAAATAAACCAACAGATAAAAGAAGCCATACAACTGTCGTGAAGACTTACGGAAATGTTGTCCCCATTTAATCCCACTATGCCTTGTGCTGATTTCCCTCCTTCCCTTCCTGCCTCTTGCCCTACCTTAATCCAATCCAGTTTTACCCCTGGTTTTCCTTTGCATGAACACCAATTTCAGTCAGGTTCCTTCACCTTTCCAAGCCTTCGGTAAATGATGTCTATCACTGTGTGGTGGTCTACAGACATGAGTGTATTTTTCCTCCCTCCATACAAATCCCCTGCACCATTTAAAGACAAGTAGTAACAAACTTCCTCAACAATGCAGTGGCCCCAGACCACTTAAAACATGGGCTTCAGACCCAGCAAGACAGTTCAGTAAAAATAAGCTTTTGTTATACAAGACTGACGAGTTCTGTCCCTGGAACCCAGCTGTATTGGTTGCTTTTCTGTTGTGATAAAACACCATGATCAAGGAAACTTACAGAAGGAAGAGCTTATTTTAACTTATGGTTCCAGAGAAATGAGAGTCCATCATGCTGGGGAGGCGTGGCAGCAAGGGGTAGGCATGGCAACAGGAGCAGGAAGCTGAGCATTCCTGCCTTCGTCACAAATACTGATCAGAGAGAGCAAGTTGGGGGGGGGGATATGAACTCTAGAACCCTATCCCTAATGATATATACCCTCCAGCAAGGCTACACCTCCTAAAGATTCCACACCCTCCTCAATAGCACCACCAACTGGGGACAAAGTGTCCGAGTACTTAAACCTATGGGGGACATTCTCATTCAAACCACACCATCGCAGAAGGAGAGAACCAATTGCCAAAAGATGCTCTCTAATTTCCATGTTTACCATAGCATGCACACACCCACACCATCATCATCATCATCATCAAGTACAAATGAACAGGGTTCATAGAAGTGGGAGCTCAGCAAGTCTCTATGATTATGGTTTCGGGTCCTATTCCCTTTGACCTACTCTATCCAGAGTAGAATTTGCTGATTCTGGTAAACTATTATACTCTCAGATGAGTTTTGTTTGGTTGCAAGCATTTTCCACACTCGGCCTCAGCGATTTAGTAGCCATAAACCACGTCTACATGGTTCAGGGAAGGGCAGAGAGGAGAAGAGCAGGACAGATTGTTTGCATTCTTTGTGTTTCTCCAAGTATCAAGTCAAGCTTGATCACACATGTACTCAAGAACTAACTATTTTTTGGTCCTATAAAAGGTCCGCCTCATATTCACTCAGGTTGCTATTAACATAGGACAGTTTGAGGCCAAGTATGAACTCCCATATTTTTTATTTATATTTATTTTTATTTTATTATTTTTATGCATATGAATGTATTTCCTGTATTATGTGAGTGCACTCATGTCATGTGATGCCCACGAGGACCAGAAGAGGGTATTGGATCCCCTGAAACTAGAGCTAAAGATGGTTGTCAGTCACCATATGGTGCTGGGAATCAAACCCAGGGCCTCTGCAAGAGCAGCCCAGTGCTCTTAACCACTGAGTCATCTCTCCAGCCCAATTCCCATATCTTAATGTTTTCAATTAAATGTTTTACCCGACATCTAGTTACTTTACATGGCTTTCAGCACATGGCTTAGGTACTCTGTTAGAGTTCTACATCTGAATGTACTTAGAGGACACAAACAGGGTTTGCCCCAAGAGAAGAAGACATTTAAAACTCTGTAAATGTTTCCTATAACGAGCTCTAGTTTCAAAGCCCAACTAGCCAGGCTCAAATCCATCTCTCTTATTAGCTATAAGTGTTAATTAATCTATTCATATAAACCCTGAGCTTTGCTTTTCCCATCTCCAAAATTAAATTTTCTTGTTATGTGGATTACTTTTTCATCACTGGGACAAATATCTGACTTGAGCAAATTGAAAAGGAAGGATGCATTTGGCTCAGGGTTCCAGAGCTTTCTGTCCACCATGGTTTGGCTCCATGGTTTCTGGCCCTCCGTGAGGCAGACCATTTCCACGGCAGTGGCATGTGGTAGAGGGAGGGCTTCACTTAACGGCAGACAGGAAGCAGCGATCGGGAACACATGCTCCCAGTGACCTGCTTCCTCTGACTACATGTTACCCAGCTTTTATTCCCTCCCAGTGACACTACACAGGACAAATGCACCAAGCAGTTACACCATTGATGAGCCCTAATTATCTCTGCAAACGCTGCTTGATTCCCTGGATGCACCTCAGTCCAGTCTGCCTGACAGTGAGGATTAACCATCACGTGACCAGCAGCAAAGCATGTCTGCTCTTTTTCCCATGTTCCCAATCTTGTTATTTATTTTGTGTGTACATGCATGTGCATGCACATGTGTGCATGTGTGCGTAGGCCAGAGGATGACCTCCAGTGTCAGTCCTCAGGCACCATCCACCATGTTTGAGACAGGGATTCTCACTGACCTGGAGCTTCCCAAGTAAGCTAGGCTGGCTGGCCAGTGAGACTGAGGGATCTGTCTGTCTGCACCTCCCCAGCACTGGGATTACAAGAAGAAGCCGCCATGCCTGGCCTGGTTTGTTCTGCTTAACCTCCAGTTCCATCCATGTTGCCACACATCACAGCATTTTATTCTTTTAATGGCTGTATAATATTCCATTGTGTCTGTGTACCACATATTCTTTACTCATCAGCTTAGAACATTCAGGTTGTTTCTCTCTCTCTCTCTCTCTCTCTCTCTCTCTCTCTCTCTTTCT